ATCATTATCGTATGGCACTGTGTTTACCCAGAAACTCCAGCTGGTCCAGAATGCGACGGCATGGGTCTGGACCAGGTTCCCTCTAAGCTTTTATATACCTCATCCATCCTGCAGCCCCCTTGGAAGCAGTTTGGTGTAGTGGTTGGGGGTGCAGACGCCAATCTGGGAGAACCGAGTTTGATTCCGCACTCCACTGCTATATCATTATCGTATGGCACTGTGTTTACCCAGAAACTCCAGCTGGTCCAGAATGCGACGGCATGGGTCTGGACCAGGTTCCCTCTAAGCTTTTATATACCTCATCCATCCTGCAGCCCCCTTGGAAGCAGTTTGGTGTAGTGGTTGGGGGTGCAGACGCCAATCTGGGAGAACCGAGTTTGATTCCGCACTCCACTGCTGACGTCAATCACAAGTTCTTTCAGAGCTGTTCTCTCACGAGCAGTTCCTGAAACAGCTCTCTCAGCCCCATCAACCTCACAGGCGGTGTTCCCTCTAAGCTGAGTTAGTGTGAGCTAGCTCACAGTTTTTTAGCCTTCGGCTCACACATTTGTGTCTTAGTTTATGCAGCAGGCAAATCGCTCGCTCACAACTTTCATGTCAAGTCAACTCAAGTCACTTATTGTATTTTTATGCCGAGAGGTGACAAAACAGAATTATTGCTCACAAGACCCCACAGCTTAGAGGGAACATTGGTCCGGACAAGTGTCCCCTCTAAGCTGAGTTAGTGTGAGCTAGCTGAAAGATTTTTAGCCTCTGGCTCACACATTTGTGTCTTGGCTCAGGAGGGATGGCTCCAGAGCAAACTAATTTATGCCGCAGCCAAATCACTGGCTCACAGCTTTAATGCTGGTAGCTCACAAAGTAGGATTTTTGCTCACAAGACTCCATAGCTTAGAGGGGACATTGGTCTGGACTGGAAAATCAAGGACCGCACATATTCAAGCAAGCTGTGTCAGCTGCACTGGCTCCCAGTGCAGTATCGAGTCATATATCTCTCCCTTATTATATTTGAGTAGTGGGTGCCAAAGTTCTAATTCTAAAATGCACTCCCTTAGTGTATGGCTGATGGAACTGCTCCTCAATATATCGCCACCAATCAGAAGGCAAAGCCCGGGTCCCACCCACACCACAACTGCTGTGACTGTGTACCTCACCGGACGCCATTTTCATTTTGCTCGACGAAGAGGATTATGAGAGCACTATTGATTCGGTGAGCTGCCTTCCCCAGCGCCCACTCAAACATGGGCAACGGCGGCAGCCTCCGCTCGCCCGCCTTGCCCACCGCCCGCAATCCCAGCCTGGCGACCGGCCTTCGGGCACTCGCCCCCCCCCCCCCCACACTCCCCGACCCGCGAGGGGCG